CAAAGACACAAAGTAAATGAAACATTTCCAAAACTCCTGATTCTCTTCCTCCCCCAAACCTGCTTTAGCCTTGTGTTTCTCATTTCATCTGATAGCAATCCCATGCTACCAGCTGTTCAGGCCAAAAGCCTTACTAGTCCCTCTTCTCTCACACCTGACATAAAAATATACCAGAAATCCTGATGGCCCCACCATCAAAATATAGCAAGAATCCGACCACTATTCAGTCTCCACTGTAAACAACTCAGTCTGTGCATTCTAATTACAGATTTCCATTCTGATCCTGCCAAAACAGTCTTACCATGTCACTCTTATTCTCAAAATTCTCCACAGCTTCTCCATCTCACTGTAAGTCAAAGTCAAAGGTTAACATGATCTGGCCACATTTCCTCTCTGACCTCATCTTTTACTATGTGCTTCTAGTACTGTGCTTCAGCACTTTCCCAACTCAAGGATTTCATACTGGCTGCCCCTTCTGCCTGACATCTGCATGATTTTCACCCAGACTTCCATCGCAGCTTCGTTTAATGTCCTCAACTCAGTAAGGTCTGCAGGAAGCATTCTAACATCAAGTTGCAATCTTCTCCCGGCATTCCCTGTCCCCCTACAGGGACATTTTCCTCTTGCTCCCCGCTATGGTCTTAGTCCTCAGACACCGTGCCTATATATAACACTAATTACTAGTTGTTGAATAAATGAATGTATCTGAAAGATATTAAAGTGAAACAATGTCACCATGAATGAAAAGCACTTCATTCTGACAAATAAAAATTTAAAATCTAAATTGTTTTATTAGAAGAACTCCTCAGTGACCAGAGGGGAGAGGGAAGGGAATTTAAGGGGGAAAAAAGGGGAGGGATTTGGAGGAACAAGTATGAAGGACACAGGGACAAGAACTAAGGGGGGGTTGGAAATGGGAGGGAGGTGGGGAGCACAGGGTAGGGTGAGCTGGGATGGGAGAAATAGAAAACTGTACTTGAAAAATAACTAAATAAAAATTTTTTAAAAAGAAGAACTCCTAAAGACATTTGGAAACTTGGCTCAAAGTCTTCGAGTCTACATTTTAGCAAATACTACACAAGGTACAAAGATACAAATATAAATAAGAAAAGACCCTGACTTCACGAAGGCAGTCTAATAGGAGAGACAGGCAAGACTGCACAGTCAACATGTCATGACACAGTACAAGTGTGCTCGGAGTGTCAACGTCAGGGCTCATACAGACGACACAGCATCAAGAGACGTTTAAGAGAGGTTAGAGAGAAAGTGATATTTTTAGCTAGACCACAATGAAGTAGGTTGTAGCAGATATTCAAGAGGGTAACAATTAGTTCAAGTAGAGATGAGTATATGAAGAGGAAAGGTGCCAAGAAATAGGCACACTTGGGGAGGACGCAGCAATCTAGCCGTGGTGGGACAATAAGCAAGAAATAAGATATGACCTTCTCTGACATTCTACAAGGAGGGTGAGACGCGGAAAGATTTTAAGCACAAAGGCGGAAATTAGTATTTATGGTTAACAAAGAAAATGTCCGTGAGTAAAACAGGTGGGAGGCTACTGACACAGGTGAGGCAAGAGAAGGTGACCAGGGTCTCTATTCACGCATGTGTGGTGGGCTGCATGGACAGCCTTTGAAAGCCTGTGGACTCGTTCTCTGAATGATGATTATAAATGTATAAAATAAAATACATAAAATTAAAGGGCACCAATTCTATGGAAGTATAATTATTAATACATTTAAAATTTGGTTTTGCTATAATATGAATAAATATTAAAATCAGTAACAGTATGAGCATACAGTATATTCCAAAATATATTTCAGTAGTTCAAAACACTAAAAAGATATATAGTTCATATGTAATGTGATATGAAAACATCTGCATTTTTATTGGTGACAATGTCACAGGTACAACTAATGTTACCATTTCATCTATCTCATAATAAAAGGAAACAATTTTGGTTAGAGGGTAGTCAACATAAAGATGTCATTTAGTTTGTATCCACAACCATGGAACTTAGGTTAAAAACCCCTCGCACAGGCTAAGGTCCAGGCAATAAGAAAGGAAATCAAAGAGGTATTTAGAGAGAATGTATTTCAAATAAATAAAGGTCCTCTGTTAAGAAAAACAAACAAAAAAAGCAAGTAGATAAAATAATCCTAACCTACACTGGACTGACTCCAGAGAGTAAAAAGGAAATATCCCTATATCAACTGTTATTTAACAGTTTCCTTTACTTTACTAAAAAGAGCACAAACAACAGCAATACCACCAAGCATGATTCATTTTCAACATGAATCCCTCCCTGTTCAAAGTTTACATTTTTTTTGACCAGCATCAGACTGTTTATCCACACAAACTGTAAATACATCCTTTTTAGAACTAACCAACAACAATGCCCATTTTGTTTTGACAAGTGAAATACAAAGAGAACATGAAGAAAAATGACCACCACTCTAATGTCAGTGCTTTAAAAATCAGAAAAACGACTCAGAGTAACCAGGTGAAATTTCAACATGACAAAGTTGCAATATGTGTTATCAGTAGGAAAATGAAGAAAGCTGTGAGCAATAAAGCTGAGAGAAAATAGCATATTTTGACTTGGAAATTCAAGTATTGCTCTTTCAACCATCTGTTCCTGTACAAATAACAAATCCTTAACCTATCGCCACTTTGTACCTTCCAGAAAAAATGTACTCAAGGGAGTTTGTTCACAGTCATTTAGTATCTATCGTTCTCTTGGACTAAAAAATACACAGGACAGAGATAACAATTTTTTGTGCACATTGTACCCAAAGCCTAGCACAGAACCTGGTATGTGGTAAGTTTATTAGGGAAGAAGAACAAGAAGAAAAAAGAAGCTCAAAATGATACTCTCTGAGGGCATATAAATGTAAGGACTACAAATCCAAATTTTTCTACAAATACATCAGGTCCACTCTCCAACCCAGCACTCTACATGCACGCTGACTCCCTCTCCACCGAGTGGTTAGTAAAGGAAACATTCCACATAAAGAAAAAGATCTTCAAAGAACCGATACTATCACCTGCTTATATGACAAAGTATTTATACCAAAAATATGTAAATAATTATTCAAGTAAAATTTCCTGCAAATGGCGGAAAATAGGAATATCATACAACTTTCAACTTCTTTTAAAATTCTAAATACTTTCTTAAGTGGCTGTTTTCAGCTAGGACTGATTCTGAAAGACTTATAACTTTGAAGGTCACAGGTCACTAGTTAAGTTAAATACACATGAATAACAACTGTTACAGAAATAACAGGGCCAAAACATAAAACATCAAGCAAGGAGAAAACAGAGGTACCGAATTTTTTGAGTTACAACACAATCTTTCCCGAGAATTCCAAATACCTACATGTTTCAGGCTCTCTTAAAACTTCCTACAGAAAATATGTATCTAAATTGGTTGGGTATTATAAAAGGATATGTGTTCAAGTAGAAACTAAAACAAATAAGGTTAGCTGTACTGCCCAAAGTAAGTGCAAAGAGCTACTCAAAACTAATGCTTGTACACATGTTTCATATCAGTACCATTAACAACAGCTAAAGCATGGAAATAATCCAAACATCCACCAATGGAAAAGTGGAGAAAAAAATCGTGGTATTTACATGCGATGGAACATTATTCAGCCCTAAAAAGGAATGCAATGCTGATACATATAACAATGTGTCTGTACCTCTAAAATGTTAAACTACAGGGAAAAAAGTCAAAACCAAACAGACACACATTGAATGAAGTACACTATAGGGGAAAAAGGCAGAAACAAAAAGTCACATATTGTATGAAGACAGTTATATGCAATATCCAGAATAGGTAAATCCAAAGAGATGGAAAAAGCAGATTAGTGGTAGCTATGGGGCTTAGAAAGAGAAATGGGGGGGGGGGGGTAACAGCTACTGAATAAAAATGTCATCTAGTGTCAACAAAAATTTTCTATCATTCTGATGGGAAGGAAATGGTGCAACCTCTCTGGTATTAAACTACTATGGTCAAGGTTTGCATACATTATAACCGAGGGTTTCCACTTAAAATGAGTACATATCTGCAGTAAGAACTGAGTATAGAAATTTTCATTGCATCATTATTTATAATATCCCACACCAGAAACTACCCAAACATACATCGACAGTAATAGAAAGGATAAATAAACAAGTGGAAATATAACTGTACAATGGAACATGGAAAAACAATGGAAATAAAGTAAAACTGAATTCATTTCATGATCATGATGTTAAAGAAGCTGAATATACCAAAATATACATATTCCATAATTTCATTTATATGAAAGGGAACAACAGTATTTAAGGATACTTCCTTAGGAAAAAATTATTTTCAAAAAGGAAATGATTACCATAAAGTCAGATTCATGGTTTTCTTTTACAGAAAAGGAGCACAAATGAAGACTTCCAGTAATTGGCTGGGGTAACACAACTATTTGCTCTAAGATGGATTATTCAGCTAAAAAATATATTTTTTTTATTTTTCCTGCAACATATTGGTAGAAATCCCACAATGATGTAGTGCAAATGCTGTTCTAAACTACACATGACTCCTGACCATTCTTTAATAATGACCATTTCTCAATAAACTATATAGTGTTGGCTTTGGTTAAAGGCAAAGTTTTCTGGACAAGATCTATAGACAGAAAAGTAAATTTATAAATTTATAAATCAAGTCTTGAACTTCATATTCCATAAAAAGACACAAAGAAGTCCTTATTTACTGAAAAAGTTAGAGTTAAATAGCATTTTAACTCTCTATGACTCTTTGGTGGTCATAAAGACTACCAAAGTGGCAAGCATTGCCATCAATTAAATGATTTAATAAGTTAAGAATGTCCCAAAATGAACCCAAAACCTTGTCTTTGCATGAACAGATTTGAAAAATGGATTTTCCATGTCCCAGATCTTGAAAATTAAGGATAAGAGGAAGAAGGCTTGCAGAGCTCAGTGGAAAGAAAGAAAAGCAGGTTTACCATGCAGAGGTGACCCGGAAGGGCTGCTCGATAGACCTGGAACAGGGCTACAGCGACCTCCTTGCTTAGATGTCAGTTCTTGTTCGATCTCCTCCAGCCCAGCACTTTTCTGGAAACGGCTCATACGATTCACAACTCGTGGTGACATATGTGTCCGAACACAAGGCTGGCCACCATACGGGTTGATTGGAAAAACATGGGACGTCCCCCGGAGCGTGCTGACCACAACCCAGCGACAGTCATGGCTGAAGCAGATGTCTTGTACCTAAAAATGAGAGGTGAAAAACAGAGAGATGATGGAAACTACTTGCACTTATCTGAGAGCTTGACACACATGCCGTGAAATATGCTTATTACCAAATTTACCTAAGATCAAGTGATAAAGATTTATTCTACACATAAGTTTCATATATTGATCAAAACTCCATATCAGAGATATGATAAGATTTAGAGTAGGAAATTCTATTCCTTTCCTGAATGGGGGGGATAAAGGGGAGAAAAAAAATTGGGAAAACCGTAATAGCAGAGTCAATAAAATATAATTAAAAAATAAAGTATATTTTACTGATTATGCTCTCCCTCTTTTATCCCGCCTCTGCCCTGCCACCCCCCACCTTCCAACATTCACCCCCCTCCCGTAGTTCATGTCCATGGGTCATACATATAAATTCTTTGGTTTCTCCATTTCCTATACTATTCTTAACCTCCCCGTCTATTTTGTGCCTACCATTTATGCTTCTTATCTCCTCTATCTTCCCCCTTCCATTCTCCCCCTCCCCCTCCCCACTGAAAACCCTCCATGTGATCTCCATTTCTCTGGTGCCATTCCTGTTCTAGTTGTTTGCTTAGTTTTTGTTGTTTCTTAGGTTCAGTTGTTGATAGTTATGAGTTGTTGTCATTTTACTGTTCATAGCCTTTGATCTTCTATTTCTTAAGTAAGTCCCTTTAACATTTCATATAATATCTGGGAAGCACTTTCTCTGCCCTTCCATTCCAAATGATAGCTTTGCTGGCTAGAGTCATCTTGGATGTAGTTCCTTGCCTTTCATGACTTCAAATACTTCTTTCCAGCCCCTTCTTGCCTGTATAAGGTTTCTTTTGAGAAATCAACTGATAGCCTCATGGGAACTCCTTTGTAGCTAACTGTCTCTTTTCCTCTTTCTGCTTTTAAGATTCTCTCTTTATCTTTAATCTTGGGTAATTTAATGACAATGTGCTTTGGTGTGTTCTTCCTTGGGTCCAAGTTCTTTGGGACTCTCTGGGCTTCCTGGGCTTCCTGGACTTCCTGGAAGTCTCTTTTCTTTGCCGGACTGGGTAAGTTCTCCTTCATTATTTGTTCAAATAAGTTTTCAATTTGTTGCTCTTGTTCTTCTCCTTCTGGCACCCCTATGATTTGGATGTTATAGTGCTTACAGTTGTCTCATAGGTTCCTAAGCCTCTCCTCATTTTTCTGAATTGTTTCTTCATTCTGTTCCAGTTGGATGTTTATTTCTTCCTTTTGTTCCAAATTGTTGATTTGAGTCCCCGTTTCCTTCCCTTCACTTTTGGTTCCTGGTATATTCTGCTTTATTTTACTTTGTGTAGCCTTCATTTCTACCTCATTTTGTGAAAGAACTCAATCAGTTCTGTGAGCATCCAACTACCAGTGTTTTGAACTCTACAAGCAGCTAGGTTGTCTATCTCCTCATTGCTTAGCTCTTTTTCTGGAGTTTTGATCTGGTCTTTCATTTTGGCCATATTTCTTTGTCTTGGCACACCTGTTTTGCTGTAAGGGTGCAGAGCTTTAGTTGTTCACCAGGGCAGAGCAACCCTCTCTGCTGTCTGTGTGGGAGGGGTCAGAGAGGGAACAATGCTGTTCACTTACTGCACTCTAGCCCCACTTTCCCACAAATTCTCCTGTGAGACTGGGAGTTTCTCCCACTGTGGCAACCCCTGCAGTAGTTTGCAGCTAACTTTGACTCTTTAGTTTCCCATTCAGCCAGCCCTGCCTCGCCCACGCGGTCCACCACCTTGGCACGGGTCCTCTTCACTCAGCTGCCCATCTCCCATCTCCGCCCCTCCTATCGGTCTGGGTGAATGTTTCTTTAACTCCTTAGTTGGAGTTCCACGCAGTTTGATTTTCTGGCCCTTCTGGTTGTTTATTATCTTTAAATTGCTTGTTACCCTTCTTTTTCTTATGGGAGGAAGCGAAGCATTTCTACCTACACCTCCATCTTGGCCAGAACTCCTCAGTAAAATTATACGTTAAAAAGTGCTCCCCCCAATATTTTCAGTACCCACATGACATCATATGTAGTTATTACAATATTATTGACCATATTCTCTATGCTATACTTTACATCTCCATAACTATTTCATAACTACCAATTTGTATTTCATCCAGGGATACTGAATGAAGGAGGTTAAGAGATTAAGAAATGGTTGAAAAATGAAGAATAATAATAATCTTTTACCACACAAGACAATCAATCAACAATGCTTTAAAAAAAAAAAAGGAGCCTCAGCAAAGTCAAAAAGTATGGTAGAATATAAGATGTCAGTGAGTGGGTTTTAACAGGAAAAAAACATATGTGTGGGTATACATGTATGAATATATCAACTTCATTACAACGACGTGAGCAAAGTAAAACTGTTTTAGCCATCAAAGCCAACTTTCCAATATAGTACGTCTTCAAATAAGCCTAAATTCATATTAAATCTTGAGTAATATTCCACAAATACTCCACAAACAAAAGCTAAATGAATTCCTCAAAGTACAAGTCTCTGGAAGAGCCTGGAACCCTTAAAATAAAAAAAATTAAAAACTTAGTCTAATATATCAAGACAAGATACTTCATTTTTAGACTATTGCTAGACAAAAATTATCAATACAGGGATAAACCCAATTTCAACCACATGCCTGTCTATTTCGATTACCATGATAAATGACATGTTAATGTTGTAATTAAAGAATCTCCTGAGAGCTGATATATTTCACTCCCAGGAATTCTAGAATTATGAATAAAAAGTCATTCCACATAGTCATGCCTATGATAACCTCCAACTAGACTGACTTACAGAAAAGCAAGAGAAATGGAAGGGGCTGGGCAAAGAAACATGTAAATAGCAAAGCAAGAGAAAAGAAACACAGAGCCAGACAAATTTAATACCATGCTATCAAATGCATTAACACAAGCCAGAATCAAATATGTAAACAAAAACATCTTTAGGCTTATTAAGTAATTTACGTTCCATCCACAGTAGAACTAAACCATGTTATCTAAAACCTTTTTCCAAAACACTTACAGTCAAGACCACTTCCTGATCTGTCCATAAAAAGAGTTTCCTTCTTTCATTTTAAGAATACTTCTGATATGAGGTGGTGCGAACAATCAGTATCAAGGCAGTAAGACAGAATTCCACCTAAATGCCTCTTAGAAAACTGCTATTAGAACACTGAGTCTGCTCTATGACCTTGAAGACACATCAGGATACATAAATGAACAGAGAAGAGTTGCTAAAGATATTAGCTGTCAAGAGACTAGAGACAGTTTAATCCTTTAAATAACGTTACAGAAGATAACCAACCTCCTACCCACAAAATACAAAATGATATAACTGTTGGTATTATCAAACAAGTTGGGTGGTTTGTCATACATCATTAATAACAATAAAGACCATGCATAATGGCAAGCTAGTAATGAGAAAATGACATCATCTGCATTATTTTTAGACCTCTATTTTGGAATATATCTAGTTAGGATTTTCTCCTCACAAAACAGAGCAGTTCAATGAGAGTTGTATCTCTGATTTAGCTCTACTGTACTAAATATCATAGCAAGTAACATTGGCCAGATCAGGCAATTGTTATATATTTTTTGTAATACAGTTCTACTAGTGAGGAATATGCAATCTGTTGATGAAGATAATATTTTGCTTAATTGGGTTTCTAAGCTAGTATTATCATCAAACAGATTCCAATGCTCATCTGTAGGAAGTATTCTTAGCTTGTAAGATGTGCAAAAACAGACAGAGGGTTACTTATAGTTCATGGACTACACTTGCCGACCCATCATGTGGAAAATGTAGACTTGTGGGCACATCACAGACCTCAAAGCAGAAAACACCTTGCAATCCTAAAGCCAAAGTCAAAAACACAGTAAGACTCTCAAATGAGCACTATTCTTATAGTGTACCAAACACTCCACAGTATAGAAAGGGAAACGTACATAAATCCTCTCCAAAGAGGAATCCATACAAGACATGAGTTAGGAACATGAGACCAATTAGATTACAATTCTTTTCTAAATTCAATAGTAAGCAGACATTTTGTTTTGTCTTCTTAGGTGAATATATCTGTATTCAGGTCAACAATAACACAATTATTACATAAAGTCATCTTAGTTTACATAAAAAAACACATAAATACCAAAACTCATAGGCAACTATTTATTACCTTGGAACACATTCTTCCAGACATCTCTCAATGCATAAATCAATATGTATATGTGTGTTTATATATATATCACATAAATACAAATATAGACACATATACACATGCACACACACATATAATTTTACATCAGATAACAAGTAGCCAATTTGAAACATAAAACAGCCTTTAAAATTTAATGTTAATAAAAAATAGTTAAAACACATAGAAGTAGCACTATAAATATAAAGTCTTTACATGTCAATATAGGCTTTACTTAGAGGTCACCTTTTATAGTAAATATATTTACCAACTGCCAGTTACATGGCCCTGGAAAAGTTAGTTAACAGTTCTGTGTCTTCCAGTTGTTCATTTGCACATGGGAATAATAATGCAAATGTCATAGGGTTTTAGGTTTAATGAATGAACATATAAAGCACTTAGAAAAGTATTTAGCACTAAGAAGCACTGAACTAAGATGTTTGTTGTTATTTTTGTAATTACCATAAAATGTATACTTACTCTGTGCAAATATGTTTTCACTGCCACCAATGTATAATCTTTCTACCAGTTTACTCCATTACACTCTTAACTGAACCCTTAATTCATACTACCATCTACCTATAAGCAACAACAAAGTAAATAAACTACACTTCAAAATTAAAAGCTTTTGTACATCAAAGTATACTACCAAAAATGTAAAAAGACAACCCACAGAATGCCAGTAAATTTAAAAAGTGAAAAGACTAACTAGCTAGTTTTGCTGAAAGGGAAGTTCTATGGCTTTCTTTATCCTATGTGGTTTCATTTACCTGCCCCTTAGTTCTTAAAAGATGTCTCTTCTCCTATGTTCA